ATTTATTGAAACAACAATTCTTTTACAGCAATATTATTGTGATAGTAAATATTGCAATAATTCAAACCACTTTAAGAAATTTAAAATTTCAAGTGACACAAATCCTTCTGTCATGAAATTCGAAATAAATTTTACGATTCTCTAAATAACTTACAAATTGTATTCAAATAAAATTTGCATTTATCCCTCATAAAATTAAACATTGTCTTACCATTTATCTTCTATTTACCTTTCAATGAATTGTAAACAAAGATCAATGCTCTTTGTTCGCTTCATCTCTACAAGTTAACTTCTTATTGTATATCATATAATTTGTTTTGTTTACTATTTGGCTATACAAAGAGATCACTTAAGTTTTAATTTTAGTAAGTTAAAACATCACCCAAAAGTAATTAATTAATTATTTACAATTTTGTAACATTGGTTTACATTTTCTAAATTTAAAACTTTTTTGTTCAATAAATTATCTGTCAGCTTAGCATGTTTTTTCATATAAGTTTCAAGACAAGACATATTGTTAAGTTTATTATAATAATACTGGGAAATGATCTGTTATTTACTTAAAATATACAAACAAAAAAATTATTGGCTTTTTTATTTCTAATTACAACCTTAGGCCATTTATCAGAGTAGAAATACAATACTAAGTAAAATAATTAATTTGAAAAATAACAAAATTTAGTTAGAAAAAAAGACCGTTGTCACATAATGGCCATAACCAATTCTCTTTCTTTTTTTTAAAATATTTTTTATTAATTGTATTCCTTATTTGATATTCGTAAGTAATTATTACAAATTTATAAACATAATTGTAATGTTTAATTTGTTTTGTATTATAATTACTAGCGAATAACATTTTCACAACTTCTTCATTATTTAAAATAAAAATTAATAAATTTAAAATAAAAAATTTTTAAATAATTTAAAAGAAAAAAATTAACAAATTTAAAGTTATTGCATCAAAAACAAATGTTATAGCAAAAGAAAGACAATACGTATTAGCAATGAGAGCTTAAAAATTATTTAGTGATAACTGATTACTGATTATGAATTTGAGTTACTATCACTTTTGCACTATCATTTACTGATTAGCACTGCAAATAATGCACTATTTAATCATCGAAAATATTAAGAATGAAGTAAACACTGAATAATTTTTTTAACTTTAAAAATTTACTTTAAATAACTTTAAAAATTTTGTTGTTAGGTATCGGAAAGTCATGAAAACGATGACCATCGATTCTTTAAATATATTTCTTAAATTGCTTAAATTTGTCTAAATGCTATTTTAGATTAGTTCAATAAGTCATACCTTAAATTTATTGCGTAAATGTTTATCATCCATTTTCTAAAGTAATTAAATGTACATTTTGTAAAATATATCTAAAGTATTTAAATGTACATTTGTAAAATATTTAAAGTAATTTAAATGTACATTTTGTAAAATATTTCTAGTATTTAAATGTACATTTTGTAAAATATTTCTAAAGTAATTTTAAATGTACATTTTGTAAAAATATATCTAAAGTAATTTAAATGTACATTTTGTAAAAATATATCTAAAGTAATTTAAATGTACATTTTGTAAAATATTTCTAAAGTAATTTAAATGTACATTTTGTAAATATATCTAAAAGTAATTTAATGTGTACATTTTGTAAAATATTTCTTAAGTAATTTAAATGAATATTTTGTAAAATATTTCTAAAGTAATTTAAATGTACATTTTGTAAAATATTTCTAAAGTGATTTAAATGTATATTTTGTAAAATATTTCTAAAATATTTAAATGTACATTTTGTAAAATATTTCTAAAGTGATTTAAATGTATATTTTGTAAAATATTTCTAAAGTAATTTAAATGTACATTTTGTAAATATTTCTAAAGTAATTTAAATGTACATTTTGTAAAATATTTCTAAAGTAATTAAATGTACATTTTGTAAAATATTTCTAAAGTAATTTAAATGTACATTTTGTAAAATATTTCTAAAGTAATTTAAATGTACATTTTATAAAATATTTCTAAAGTAATTTAAATGTACATTTTGTAAAATATTTCTAAAGTAATTTAAATGTATATTTTGTAAAATATTTCTAAAATAATTTAAATGTATATTTTGTAAAATATTTCTAAAGTAATTTAAATGTACATTTTATAAAATATTTCTAAAGTAATTTAAATGTATATTTTGTAAAATATTTCTAAAGTAATTTAAATGTACATTTTGTAAAATATATCTAAAAAAACCATATCCAGCATGCTAAAATAGGTGGAAAAATTCAAGAATTGCAGAAATAGCAAAAAATTTGACTAACTCTAATAAAAGTTAAAAATTTCAATGATTTTCAGAAATTCAAAAACTTTTAGAAAATTTAAAACTTTGACAGATTAAGCATAAAAAATTTGCATTCAAAAAAAAAAAGAAAGAAACTCAATAAATAAGCAAAAGAATAGAAAATGTATTTTCTACTTTTTGCAATAAAATTTATTATAATAAACTAATTTATTACTATGGAAATTGTCACATAATCAGAAAATTGCTATTATTCTAATCAATTCATTTTCTTCTTTTTCTTTCTTTTCCATTTTTCTTTTTTTTTTTTAAAATTTTTTTTTTGTCTAAAACGAAACGATAATTTTGTTTTATTCCATTTATAAAAATTGAATTAATTTTAATAACTATGATAGCAAAATTTCTAAAAGTTCAAATTCAAATTAAAATAGAATATTTAATGCACAATCAGTTATGTTATCAAAGATTAGAAAATAAAATTTAGAAGATACTTTTGTATAAATTCGCTTATCAGAATAAAAAAAAGACTGTCGAAATTGATTAAAACTGATTGGCGTATTTTTTTGCAAATTTTAGATTCGGTAAAATATCTCAATGGCCACTACCGATTCAACTAAAACACTAAAAAATTCAGAAATAAAAAGTTGATTACAGGTATGCAAAAGAGTAGCTTAATTACAGGTATACAGAACTGATAACAAAATATAATTTGGAATACAGTTTTAATTAATTGGATTTTAAGTCTAATTTAATTACTTATAAGAGAGTGGATCCTTTTAAAATATCATTTTAATTTCTTTAGGTTATCTTTGCCAGTAATTCCAGTATGTCTTACTGTCAACCTGAATTACTTATAACTTTGCACAGTCAATTACTGAAAATATTATTTTATTTCAGATGGAAATAAAGCACGGAAGAAGCAAAGTCCAATAGATATTACAAATGAAATAACTGATCAGGATAGCATGTTGAAAGCATCGAAACTTCAATTTTCCTATACGATCGGCGATTTGAAAACAATCGAAGTGAAATGATGGATTGAAATTTTAACTTTAATTAACGAATTGCAAATTACTATTAAACGTAGTATTGTACAAACAAAATTGATTGCATTATTTCAGGTTACCGGCGAAGTTTTTCATGTAAAACTGATAACGGATGTACTTCAGGTAAATTTTAATTCAATTTCACATTTAAAAAATAGTAATTCTTGAAGAATTATAAAGAAAAAAACAAAAAATAGAAATGAGCCGTTAATTCAACAAATTCCGGATGAATGAATTGAATTTCAGAATTAACTGCGTCACATCTTCCGGATGTTTACAAACTTTGGGAATTCCATGCTCATTGGGGAACAGAAAAAGATTGCGGCAGTGAACATTTAATTAATGGAAAGGGCTTTTCCGCCGAGGTTAAACAATAATTTAAATTTTTTAAAAAACTGAAACACTACGAATTTCAATATTTTCCTCTATTTAATGACATCAAATTGACCTAACCTTTGACCTTTACAGCTACATTTCGTTTTTTGGAACAAAAAATACAACGAATTTAACAAATGTTTAAACAAATGTGATGGATTAACAGTTTTGGCTATTTTTTTGCAAGTTCGTTTACATTCTTTTATTCTGTTTGTTTATATTATTATTTCCATTTGATTAACTAACAGTCAATAATCAATAAATTAAATGGCGCAAATGTCAAGGCGGTTAATATCATATATTCGCTCGAAAAAATAAATTTTTGACCAACTTTTCGTCAAATATTTTCAAGTTTAATATGTAATTTAAAGATTGAATTAGCTTTGCTATTTAGATTCAGAATTTCACGTCCGTAAAAAGGAACTTTTTTCTTTCACGCAGGAATTTTTCAAGTTCATTCAGGAAGACTCAGTTGATAATGAAAATTTCTCGCCAATCATCGATGGTCTCAGCATTCATTAGCCTGTTTAAGCCGTGTCAACTTGGAACCAAATTTTGATCCACTCAAATTACTTCCAGGTAAACTCCAATTTTACAGGTGATAGGTGTCATATGAATTAAAGGTAGATGATTTATTACTTGAACCCATAATCTAATTAACGTATGTTTACAGTGAAGCACTCGTATTATACGTACGAAGGGTCACTGACCACGAAACCATTTAATGAGTGTGTCATCTGGACAGTACTGAAACATCCCAATACCATAAGTTTTAAACAGGTAATCTTTACAATATTAAAACTATCCTTTTGTGTCTAATTATGATATTTACAACTTTTATTGGTAAGCAGCAAAATTATAAAACAATTTAGCAAAAGTAATTTACTAATTAATTAATTTCAAATTAATTAATTTCGAATTATGTGACAGTAATGAAGCATTTAATGACATTTGCATACAGTTGGAATTATTACGACGAATTGTCCCCAGAAATTGTCGATTTCAACATCCGTTAAATGAACGTAGAGTGAAGCGCTCATTTAAATTTATTAAAAAATCTCAATGAATGAACGATTGATATGATTTTTGGACTTTTGGTCTTATCACTTTCTGATAATCGATGGTTACAAATGATTAAATCTGTTTTTAGCTTTGTCTGTTAGTGACAAAATGTTAAGGAATAAAATAATTAATTTGCATATTGATAAACAGCTAAGAATACTTTGATAAATGATATGAAATAAATGTAAATGTCACCAAACAGAACAACGCTTCTGAGGATTTAATAAACTTCCAAATGAACAATTGAAAGCTTGGCTAAATTCAGGTAAATTCGAGAGTGGGCCATTGACACGATACTTGGCTGGGCTATGTTCATTAGTAAGCACTTGCTTGATTTGGGCTTCTTTCGTTTGATGGCCACACCAAACCTGACAACAATTTCACCTTTCATCTTTTGAAAGCTAAATTCACATAAAATTTCAGTTTTGAAAGCTACTAAATTCACATAAAATTAATCGATCAAATTAAAAGGATACTGAATTTGAATTCTGTTCACCTGTGCAAACGAAAGGAAAAATATTTGTTCGTCGGTGAACTTTGACATGCCGGGCAGTTTATGGGCAGAATGACCGATTTGCTCGATATACTTTTTATATGCCTGTAAATAACAGACTTTTAGTTAAAAGATTGCTAAAATTGAAATCTTATTCGTGGAATAAAGTATTTACCCGAAATGATTGTTTGATGCCACCGTTGTCAGCGATATTTTCCCTAAGGTAAGTTTCCCATTTACCTGCAAGCAAATCAATTCATTTCAATTAAAAGTTTAATTTAACAAATAAAATAGTAAAAGCAGTATAGCGTTTGCATCCAGTTCATCAGGAATTCTGGAAAATTTGAAACCGATTATCCGGAATTACTACTACCACATTACTGCTTCTACTTTTGCTAACAAAGTTAAAGATCTATCCATTATTAAAATTAATCAATCTCGAGAAATGAAATTCTAAGCAAAACATAGGATATACCATTGTTACTTCATTTCTTACTTTAAAATCCGTATTTGGTACTTTATATGAGTCATATTGTTCAATGAAACATTGCGCTTTATTTCTAAAGTTTTTATACGATTCCTTACTCCACCAATTATTCAAATTACCATTCATATCATAAAGACTTCCTGTAATAATCTTTTAAAATAATTACATATAAAATTAATTATTTGCAAGGAAAAATAAGCTTTGATAACAGACTAAAATGATAACATAATGCATTAAAGTATAATTATTATGAACTCTTAAATATTTTCATTTGAAATTTGATAAAGTAAACTAATCTAATTTACTGATAATTTATTGATAATACTAATCGATTGATAATTTAATTTCTAAAATAACAAATTCTCTAATGATAGATTATGGTAAGCAATAAAATAAGCTTTGATGACAGACTAAAATGATAACATAATGCATTAAAGTATAATTATTATGAACTCTTAAATATTTTGATTTGAAATTTATAAAGTAAACTAATCTAATTTACTGATAATTTATTGATAATACTAATCGATTGATAAATTAATTTCTAAAATAACAAATTCTCTAATGATAGATTATGGTAATCATTTTCCTTAAATATAAATAACCAAATAGAATTCTTGAAAATAGCACATAAAACATTTAAATTATATTAAATTTAATTATAACAAAAAATAATTTCATATAAAATGTTAATCAAACAGTTAATAAATAAATATAACATTTGATTAAGTAACAATTAAACATATACTAAATAGAATAATAAATAGAATTTATTTGTTAAATGAATGTTTTAATATAAAATGTTTAAATGCAAATTTTTATAATAAAATTTTTTTTTAATGAAGTAAAAAAAATTTGTTAGCTTTTTGTTGAAAATTAAAAATTAAAAATTTTATTAAAATGATGAAATGAATAAATGTGAAAAAAATTATTAAAATGAAATCAAACCATCATCATCAAAGCCATGTGTTAATTCATGACCCATCACTGTACCTAATGCACCATAATTTGCTGCTCTTAAAAAAAATAATTATAATTTATTAATAGCGATAGAAATTGAAATTTAAATTTCTTAATTTTACAAATTAAATTTATCAGAAAAAATTCTTCTAAACACTCCTATAAAAAAAAACATAAATATAAGCTTAAAATTTATTAGCAAAAGTTAGCAGCATTAATCTTATATTGATCACAAAAAAAAAAAAAAAACCCTGGAATATTTAATTAATTTTGAGATCATTAAATGATATCAAAAATTCAGCCAAAAATAAAAATTATTAATATGACATTTCTCATTTTATCATTGACCAAAATGACCAAATGACCATCCATTTTTGGTCATTTCATTTACATAAAGGTCAAAGTGGAAACCAAAAATAGTGAAAGCAAAAATATACATTGAATATTTAAAAGTGAAGCAAAAAAAAATAAAATAAAATGAAAAGCACTAACTTTGGATAGTAACGATTGAAAAATGGTGATGTAAGGAAACCAGCTGGCAGTGCTAAAATATTTTTGATTGAATTTAAACTAATAAAATTAATAAATTATAAAAATAATAAAATTATTAAAGAAAATGAAAAACAAAAAAATTAATAAATTATAAAAATAATAAAATTATAAAAATTATTAAAAAAGAAAAAAAAAAAAATTAATAAATTATAAAAATAATAAAATTATAAATAATATTAAAAACAAAAAAAAAGGAATAAAACTTACTAAGTGAATTCATTCGAAATGTAAAAAATGCATTAACAGTTGAAGCGCTTTGTACAAATTCATATTTGTCGAATGGTTTTTTAAGACGTAAAAATATCTTTCCGCATCCCATTTTGCTATTTTACGTAAAATTTGAAAATAACTATCTTTCGAGGTTATATTTAACTGAAAACAATAAAAATTCCTAATTACTTTATTAATTGATAAAGTTTTTTTTTTCAAAAATGTGATAGAAAAATAGAATAAATGAAAGAGATTTTATGTATATTTAATAGATTGGCAAATAATAAAATAAATAATTGAAAATAATAGAAATAAAATTTTAGTTAAAAAAATAAATGCAAAATAAAAATAATTATTGGAATTAATGATGTAAATGAAAAAATAAAAATTACTTCAATAAATATTTGATTTTATTTTGGAATATTTGAAATTTCACATTAAAACACTAATTATTTTTCTCATTTTCTTGCCAAGCAAACAATAAGTTTGAAATTTATTTTAAAAGAGATTTGAAATAGATTTCATTAATTTTAATTGTTCATTTTATTTTCATTTTTAAATTCATACTCTCCTACTATTTTTGATCTTTGAAACTTGAATAGCAGCTAATTACAATAATCATTAAATATTCCTCAATTTTAAGTATTTGTAGTTTTTACCAAAAACTTAACTATTTAAATATATTATCGATTTATAATAATAATAATAATAATAATAATAATAATAATAATAATAATAATAATAATAATGATAATAATAATAATAATAATAATAATAATAATAATAATAATAATAATAATAATAATAATAATAATAATAATAATAATAATAATAATAATAATAATAATAATAATAATAATAATAATAATAATAATAATAATAATAATAATAATAATAATAATAATAATAATAATAATAATAATAATAATAATAATAATAATAATAATAGATTTATCATGTTCGCAAAATATAAATATTTATATGATTTATGCTTGTAATAACCTTTTTGTAATATTCAGTTAGTGCTGTATCATTCATTATCATATCATGATAACCAATTTTGTTGGTGATAGCAGCAACCTAAAAATGTTAATCAATTATTTTTTGTAAATCAGAATATGAATTAACTAAAAAATTAATACAATAATAATGTTCATTGAAATAGGATGCTATAGAAGAGTGTCAAACAAGCCGAAAAGACAGTTACTAGCCAAATAATCTATTTCAAATTAACGATAATAGATGATAGGATGAATTAAATTGAAGAAATCAATAATTTAATTTTTAATTTACTTTCAACTTATCTTCTTTCTTGATAATTTAAAATAATTTTAATTAGCAATCTTGGCTCTAAATATATTGCATTCTTGAATTGAATAAAGTTTTCTATTTCTATCAAATATTACCTTACCTAATATTACTTTTGAAGTAATCGGTTAATAAAAGTTTGAAATTAGATGTAAAATTTTAAAAAAAACTAAAATTACAATTTATGTTAGAATTAATTATAATTATAAAATAAAACCTTTTGTAAAGCAGCTTAGTACTATTATCCATCCAATCTATTTCTTCAACAATATCTTGAAATGCTTTTTTAATATTTTCTAGGATATCCTAAAGAATTCAAAATGTCAAATTTAAAATGTGAAATTTTTAAATCAAAATATGAAATTTTCTATAATACTTCCAATAATTTTGTTGTTCCTTGCATAAACTAGCCATTGTATTAATATAATAACAATATCGAAAATATTTTTTTTTAAAAAAATTTCAATATTATATAATTACAAAATTGATTATTAATTTTCAATTTTTTAAAATTTTTCTCCAAAAAAAAAACAAAGCACTTTTTTTCATACTATTTTGTTATTAATTAACAAAATTTATCAATGATAAATTTAAATTTAATCTTTTAAATTTAAGAAAATTTTAATAATGAATATATAAACTAAATATAGTACCACTACTTCTTCCGTATTTCAGAACTGTAAAATTTTAATTTTTTAAATTTAACAAATAATTATAAATAAATTTTTCAATTGAAAAATTTTAATAATGAATATATAAACTAAATATAGTACCAATACTTCCTTCCGTATTTCAGAACTGAAATGTTTTCGAACAAATAAAGCGCTGGTTGCTTGCGCTAATAAATTTTCCGTCCTTTGAACACATTGCTGCCAACGTGGTATCATTTTTTGTTGACCACTCATTACACGTGTTAATTTCTATTAAAATATTAAAATTTAAATTTAAAAAAAAAAAATTATATATTTATGAAAATTATCAAACATATTTTTCTCAAAATAATATATTTTTTGAACATTTACAATATTTTTTACACATAAATTTAAATTAATTTAATTATTTCAAATATTATTTGCAATAAGGAAAAAGAAAAAAAAAACACAAAAGAGTTTAATCAATGAATTTTTGAATTTAACAAAGAATTATTAAATTTATCAATTAAATGAAAACAAAAATTTCATTAAATTATTAATAATACAAAATTTATTGATAATTAATTAATTAATTAAATTTCCATTAATAGTTATTAGTTAAAGTTAAGATTAAATATCATCAAATATAATTTAAAAAAAAAAAACCAAAACAAAAAACTTATTATAGTTTATAAAAAAATAAATAATTACCAATCGGATATCACCAATTTTTTTGCCTAAAATATCACTCCAAACATCAATTGTTCGCCAAAAATATAATTAGCAATGATACGTTTATTTGTTGTGCTCAATAAATTTGATAAATTTTTCATAAATTCTACTTTGAATGATAATATTTGTTTGATTATCAATTATATCATGCATTGATGCTGGTATTAAGTGGTACATAAATTTAATCCAATTAATCTGAAATACATTAAACTACTCGGAATTTGTAATAATAAATTTGTTTGTAATAATAATAATAATAATAATAATAATAATAATAATAATAATAGTAATAGTATTAATAATAATAGTATTAATAAAAGTGATAATAATAATAACAATAATAATAGCATTAATAATAATAATAATAATAATAATAATAATAATAATAATAATAATAATAATAATAATGATAATAATAATAATAATAATAATAATAATAATAATAATAATAATAATAATAATAATAATAATAGTAATTTGAGATAATAAAACAATTTCAATTTGTGGAATTTGTGATAATTGATATAATAATAATATGAGATAACAAAAAAAAACAAACAAACAATTTCAACAATTTCAATGTCATCTTAAAATTCATTAAAAATATATCGAAATATAATTGTAGTCAAATTTTTTTCAAGTTTTAAATTTTTAATTAAAATTATATTTTAAAGATATGCTAGTAAATTAATCGTATTCAGTAAATTAAATTATGAAAATTAAAGAGAAACCTGTGGAATTAATGTGTATAGATCAGCAATAATTCTTTTATTGTATAAACGTGAGCTATTACGTCGATTTGCTTCCGGTACAATAAGCTAAAATAAATTTTCACTTCAAAATTTTTAAATTTTACATCGAAATATATAAAATTTGTAAAATGTGAAGGATTGCCTTACCTATTAGAATATTATATACTCATATGTTAAGTTAAAATTTATCGAAATATGATTGTATTTAAAGTTTAAATCATTCAAATTACTAATTATAGAAGTTCATTCATTAATAAAATGGCACTTTTCAACTTTGCTATATTTAAATTACATCGGTGTCGTTTTTAATTTCAATACAAAAAATTAAAATTTTAATTTCTTATTCACTAACAAAATTTTTAATTTCACTATATTTAAATTGACACTTTTCAACTTTGCTCTATTTAAATTGCATCGGTATTGCTTTTAATTTCAATCCAAGAAATTAAATTCTTTAATTCCCATCTTCAAATTATAGATTGTAAAAATTGAAAAAAATTGTGATTTAAAACAAATGCAAAAATAATACCTTAGCAATTTCAATTTCAAATGCTATAATATCGTTAATATCGTTTATTAATTCTGATATATTATAGCTAATATTAGCTCCGCTCAATACCAATTTCAAAGTTTCCAATTGATATTCCTTATAAGCTTTAAGATGTTTCGAAACTTTATTAAATTTAAATAATAATCTCGAGTACCACTACCAAGACCCAAATTAGCTTGATCAATCTGCAAATTTCTCCACAAATATTCTTATTTGAAAAAGAAAAAGCAATGCTTGTTATATTAGTATTCCATTATTTTAAAGATAATAATATTTTAAAGATAAATTAATTCTTATTAAAATCATTTTAAATTGTTGTTCATAAACCAATTCATAAAAATTTAAAGAATTTTGGAGCAAATTATCAGTAATTAAAAAATTAAATCATTTCTTTTAAATGACACATATATGCTATCATTTTAATATCAAAAATGATATATGTAGCATTTTTTAAAAATTTTTCAACCATCTTAACAATGGTTTTAATTTACATTTTACATACTTTAAAAATAATTTTAAAAAATTTACATCCTCTAAAAAAGGAATTTAAAAATAAAATATTTTTTTTAAAAATTTACATAATTTGATCAAATTATGCTTACATATAAACCATGAATTGTGGTATTTTTAGATTCAGCATCAATAAAAATTTTGAATAAAATTGATCACCAAAATTTTGAGTTACTGATGCTATCATATCCGTAATATCAATTATATAATTATTCCAATTATCTTCAAGTAATGGCCATTTACCAATTTTACGGAATATTTCAATTAATTGCCTATAAAAATAAATAATAATAAATTGATATCATTTATAAATTAAATATGTTTATTTTAATCTAATTTAATCTAATTTATAAATTTAATCTAAAAAATTTAACCTAATTTATAAATTATATTCTAAAATATTCCATTTAATTCAATAATTTTTTCAGGCAAAAATTAGAAAAATGTTTTTTTTTTTTTAAAAAAAAAAATTTAGAAAAAGAATAAAAAGACATACTCAGTTTTAACAGTGCTAATTTTTCAACACTCATACATGCTTTATAAAGAATACGAGCCATATCAATGCATTTTGGTGTGATCGTTTCATTTGATTCTAATAATGCTAGAAATTGAAAAAAAAAAAAATAATAATAGCTTATAGATAATAAATACTAAAAATTAATTAAAAATAAAATCTAACAATTTATACAATATATTACTTTTCATAATATACTATGGTCCAGAAATTATATAACTTTGTTCCATTTAATTCAAATAATGCTAGAAATGAAAAAAGAAAAAAAAAAAATAACTCATACATACTTAAATACTAAAAATTAATTAAAAAAAATTTAACAATTTATACAATAAATCTTTTTTTATAATATAATTTAATCCAGGAATTGTATAACTTTTCGATTCGTGTATCTAATAATGCTAGAAATTGAAAAATAATAATAATAATAATAATAATAATAATAATAATAATAATAATAATAATAATAATAATAATAATAATAATAATAATAATAATAATAATAATAATAATAATAATAATAATAATAATAATAATAATAATAATAATAATAATAATAAATAATAATAATAATAATAATAATAATAATAATAATAATAATAATAATAATAATAATAATAATAATAATAATAATAATAATAATAATAATAATAATAATAATAATAATAATAATAATAATAATAATAATAATAATAATAATAATAATAATAATAAATAATAATAATAATAATAATAATAATAATAATAATAATAATAATAATAATAATAATAATAATAATAATAATAATAATAATAATAATAATAATAATAATAATAATAATAATAATAATAATAATAATAATAATAATAATAATTAATAATAATAATAATAATAATAATAATAATAATAATAATAATAATAATAATAATAATAATAATAATAATAATAATAATAATAATAATAATAATAATAATAATAATAATAATAATAATAATAATAATAATAATAATAATAATAATAATAATAATAATAATAATAATAATAATAATAATAATAATAATAATAATAATAATAATAATAATAATAATAATAATAATAATAATAATAATAATAATAATAATAATAATAATAATAATAATAATAATAATAATAATAATAATAATAATAATAATAATAATAATAATAATAATAATAATAATAATAATAATAATAATAATAATAATAATAATAATAATAATAATAATAATAATAATAATAATAATAATAATACAATAATAATAATAATAATAATAATAATAATAATAATAATAATAATAATAATAATAATAATAATAATAATAATAATAATAATAATAATAATAATAATAATAATAATAATAATAATAATAATAATAATAATAATAATAATAATAATAATAATAATAATAATAATAATAATAATAATAATAATAATAATAATAATAATAATTAATAATAATAATAATAATAATAATAATAATATAATAATAATAATAATAATAATAATAATAATAATAATAATAATAATAATAATAATAATAATAATAATAATAATAATAATAATAATAATAATAATAATAATAATAATAATAATAATAATAATAATAATAATAATAATAATAATAATAATAATAATAATAATAATAATAATAATAATAATAATAATAATAATAATAATAATAATAATAATAATAATAATAATAATAATAATAATAATAATAATAATAATAATAATAATAATAATAATAATAATTAATAATAATAATAATAATAATAATAATAATAATAATAATAATAATAATAATAATAATAATAATAATAATAATAATAATAATAATAATAATAATAATAATAATAATAATAATAATAATAATAATAATAATAATAATAATAATAATAATAATAATAATAATAATAATAATAATAATAATAATAATAATAATAATAATAATAATAATAATAATAATAATAATAATAATAATAATAATAATAATAATAATAATAATAATAATAATAATAATAATAATAATAATAATAATTAATAATAATAATAATAATAATAATAATAATAATAATAATAATAATAATAATAATATTTATAGATACTTAAATACTAAAAATAAATTAAAATAAAACTTGAAAATTTATACTATATCATAATTTTCATAATATACTTTGATCCAGAAGTTATATAATTTTGTTCCATTTAATTCGAATAATGCTGGAAATGAAAAAAGAAAAAAATAACTTATAGATACTTAAATACTGAAATTTTAAGATTACTTAAAAACTAAAGTTTCAAATGAAAAAATCATTTTTAAATAGAATAACATAAGAAAAATAAATTAATTAAAAAATTTAACAATTCATAATATATCATTTTTCATAATATACTTTGATCTATAATTTTGTTCAATATTTTAAATTGTTTATCAAAATACATAAATGCAAATCATTAATATTATACATAAATATATTGAAAACAAAAATTGAATAGTTTGCATTAAAAAAAAATAAATATTTTTTTTTAGAATTTTTCGATACTGAAACAAATTATGGGAAATGAAATGATAAATCAAAAAATCATTTTAACACTTTCAAAAATTATCATTTATTGCTATAAAAAATTGCACTAATAATTACCTTTCATTTGTTTTCGTACAATGTTTGTGGTTATTACAAATGTTCCGTATCCGGATTGATCATCCGGTATCGGATTTTCATGAATCCATCGGCCGCAAGCATATTGAAAAAAGTCATTGCATGGATCGGCTGTTGTATTCATTGAATTTAGCTTGAATTCAGTGATAAATTAACATTCCCATCCTAGATATCTGTATTTCTTTCTAAGACTTTCCTAAAGATTCTATTAAAATATTTCACAGAAAAAAAAAAAAAAAAACAAAAAAGTAAGAAAAACTTATGTCAAAAATAAGTAACAATAAAAGTAAAGTAAATTCGATTATTAATAAACTCCTAATTTTCATCATTTCTAAGCTTTTATTGCTATAGGAATTAAAATTAGAATTAAAAATAATTGAAAATAAAATTTCAGTGAGGAAAGTTTTTTGAAATAAATATTTTAATTTTATCAAACTTACAATATTATGTGCAGCAGTGCATATCCAATTTCATCAATTTCATTAGTCATTTTTTGGATAAAAAATTGGTATTGAAATTTGATTTTAATAATAAATCATTCCTATTCAGAATATCATTCGTTAATGCTATAAATGACAAATATATAAAAAAAAAAAGTAAAAAAGGAATAATAAATTTTAAATATTATTCTCGAAGAAAATTTATATTTTAATTTCGTTATATTTTATTAATTAAGAATATTGATTGTACTAAAATATCATTTTCTGACAAATTTATTTTAATTTTCATGCAAAATCGATAAATAAATATAAGTTCTGTGATTTTCTATGCAAAATTGCCCAATTTTATTTTTGATTCAAACCGGATAACTAACTGGAATACAATCAGGTAAATATACTATCCAAAAATGAAATTTTCATTTTAGTTTTAAAAAAAATCACATCATATAAAATTGCTCTACTTGTATCACATATCGGATTAGTTTTTTCTTTTTTTTTTTTTTTATTTTTTTGCTAGTTATGAATTATTGAAAATTATTGTTATTGAATTTGAAAATTTATTGAAACTATTGAAAAAAAAATTTTGAAATTATTGAAAGAAAATAATTTAATAGCAATAAAAAATTATTGAAATTTATTAATTATAGAAAATATATAAAATAATTATTTTAAAAAAAAAACTGAAAATTATTGAAATTTTAAAACTGAAAGAAAGATATTGAAATTTATTGAAATAATTATTTTAAAAAAAGTTGAAAATTATTGAAATTATTGAAAATAAGATAAAATTATTGAGAAAATGAAATAAAATTAGCTGATTGTCAGAAATAAACTTAAAAGTAGTAAACAAAAAGTTGAAAGTTTATCCTAGCCGAGAGTGAACTATTAAAACAACAAAATGAATCACCGTGAGAAATGATGCATAAAAGTGAAATGCACAAAATTGTAAATTTATCCATAAACTATGAAAAACCGAAAAAATGGCAGTAATGAATCTGAAATGAATTAATGAATTCTTTTAAATGTTAAATTGTGTATTATTTAAATTTAATCTTTCCACAATTACTATAATAATCATAAAAGTATCACGAAACTATTATCTAAAAAAATTATTTAAGAAAATTTGAATTCTGGATTACATTAACTGATTTTGAAAAAGTTTTGAAAAAAATGTGTAATCGAGAAATTTTGCTAAACATGAAATTTTAATCAAAAAAAGTTTGTCTTAGGAGTTTTATTTTATTTTGAAATTAATTTTTTTTTCACTTTTTCTTTTTTGAAAAGTTGAAAATTTGGAAATTTAATTTTGAAGCATTGTTTTTCTGTAATTATAATAATCAAAGGATCAATTTTTTACAGTTATAGGTCAAATGCAGTAATTGAGATAAAATTAAACAACAAATTAAAATGTAAACAAAATGAGCAAAAGAGCAGAAAATATAATTTTCATTTTCTTTGATAATAATAAAATAACTAAATGATTAAGTTTTAAAAATAAGTGGAATGAATGAAATTTATATAAAATATATTCAAATCAATTCTTTTATTTCTCTCTTTTGCTAGTTAAGAATTAAATTATTGAAATAACAAAATATCTGATTGTTAGAAATAAACTTAAGAGCAATAAATATAATATGTATAATGTGAAATTTTATTCTATTTAAAGGTGAATTGTTCAAACGATAAAAACATGAAATGTGAGAATTATACAAATTTATTCAAAAAAAGAAATGAAATTCCATGTGAAATATGTCGTAAAAACGATACATTTAAATTATATTTAAATTCTAATACTTTTGTCAAATGTCTGATGTCATTCACTAAATAATTTCACATTTGTAACTGATCTATGTGTAGATCATTAGATCATTTAAGCCATTATGCTAATTCCTTTTCTCACACAATAAAAACCCTTTGTTAGCAATTTTGTTTCACATCAGTTAAATGTCCTCTACCGGATATCTGGTTGTCAGTTCGGTTCTATATAAACCAACCGATTCTCCATTGGTTTTCATTCTACATTTTGAGATGGTTTTGATATTATTTTAGTGTTTTATAATTATATTATATCTTTCGTTATGTTATTATAATATTAATTTGTCGGGTTTAATTACCCAAGTTTGAGGCAAAATAAAATATTTGGCAGTGAATACATTCCACAACAAAATATATTCAAATCAATTCCTTCTTATTTCTTTTGCTATTAATCTAAATTAACACTAAAAAAATTAAAGTATTCGACAAGTAATGCAACAATTAAAATATATTTAATAGTTTTTTAAAATGAAAGAAATAAAATAAAATTTGCAATTTAGAAAAAAAAAAAACTGTGAACAAATTGCAGACAATAATTTGTTAAAATTTACAGTTACATAGGATCAAAATGAAAAAATTGCTGAGTAATAAATCTTCGCTTCAAAAATATATTTGCAAACATTTTTGATTTGTTTATTGGCTTCGTATTGTGATTGGTATTTCTGCATCCATCAATATTCTTCCACCCATCAGTTAAAAAATTTTTTTTTTTGCCACCCCTTTTTCTTCTATTTTATTGATGAAAATATTAAATGAATTAATCTATTCACAAATATTAAAATAAAGTTAAAAATTAAATTTTGAAAATAATTAGTAAAAATAAGAGAAGAAAGTAATAATTATATTTGAGAAAAAAATTATTTCATATTTGGATGATATTTGTTAATTTTAATGTCATTTTTTTTCCTTTTTTTGTGTTATTCTATTATTCACAAGAAAGCATAAATATATATTTGAGAAGAAAAAACATAAATAAATATTTCATTTTGAAAATATTTCATTTTGAAATTGGTTGAAAAAATTTGCTTGCAACACAGAAAATTTGTTAATAAAAATTATTAGCTTAAAATATTAATAAAGAAAAACTTAATTAAAAAGGAAAAAAAACGAGTTTAAATGCTTTTAATTTTTTTTTTAATAATTAAAATACGAAACAAATGTAACAAATATATTCATTTTACTATTTTTTATTTGTCAAAAAAGTAATGTAGTAGTGGTAATTTGATAATCGGTTTCTCCAGAATTCCTGATGAAGTGGACGTTATGAATGCAAGTGCTACACTACTGTACTATTTTATTTGTTAAATTAAACTTTTAATTGAAATTAATTGATGGAATGAAATAAATTCTTTGAAACATTTTGCTTGCAGGTAAATGGGAAACTTACCTTAGGGAAAATATCGCTGACAACGGTGGCATCAAACAATCATTTCGGGTAAATACTTTATTCCACGAATAAGATTTCAATTAAAAATTTGACATTTTAGCAATCTTTTAACTAAAAGTCTGTTATTTACAGGCATATAAAAAGTATATCGAGCAAATCGGTCATTCTGCCCATAAACTGCCCGGCATGTCAAAGTTCACCGACGAACAAATATTTTTCCTTTCGTTTGCACAGGTGAACAGAATTCAAATTCAGTATCCTTTTAATTTGATCGATTAATTTTATGTGAATTTAATAGCTTTCAAAACTGAAAGGTGAAAGGTGAAATTGTTGTCAGGTTTGGTGTGGCCATCAGACGAAAGAAGCCCAAATCAAGCAAGTGCTTACTAATGAACACAGCCCAGCCAAGTATCGTGTCAATGGCCCACTCTCGAATTTACCTGAATTTAGCCAAGCTTTCAATTGTTCATTTGGAAGTTTATTAAATCCTCAGAAGCGTTGTTCTGTTTGGTGACATTTATATTTATTTCATATCATTTATCAAAGTATTCTTAGCTGTTTATCAATATGCAAATTAATTATTTTATTTCTTAACATTTTGTCACTAACAGACAAAGCTAAAAACAGATTTAATCATTTGTAACCATCGATTATCAGAAAGTGATAAGACCAAAAGTCCAAAAATCATATCAATCGTTCATTCATTGAGATTTTTAATAAATTTAAATGAGCGCTTCACTCTACGTTCATTTAACGGATGTTGAAATCGACAATTTCTGGGGACAATTCGTCGTAATAATTCCAACTGTATGCAAATGTCATTAAATGCTTTATTACTGTCACATAATTTGAAATTAATTAATTAGTAAATTACTTTTGCTAAATTGTTTTATAGTTTTGCTGTTTACCAATAAAAGTTGTAAATATCATAATTAGACACAAAAGGATAGTTTTAATATTGTAAAGATTACCTGTTTAAAACTTATGGTATTGGGATGTTTCAGTACTGTCCAGATGACACACTCATTAAATGGTTTCGTGGTCAGTGACCCCTCGTACGTATAATACGAGTGCTTCACTGTAAGCATACGTTAATTAGATTATGGGTTCAAGTAATAAATCATCTACCTTTAATTCATATGACACCTATCACCTGTAAAATTGGAATTTACCTGGAAGTAATTTGAGTGGATCAAAATTTGGTTCCAAGTTGACACGGCTTAAACCGCCCAATGAATTATTTAGACCATCAATAATTGGCGAGAAATTTTCATTATCAACTGAATCTTCCTTAAATCGTTTGCAGTGTGTCAATTTTTTTAAAAAAAATTGAGTTTTCGAATAATAAAACGCAAATGTAATTTATTTATTCATTGCGTGGTTTTTGTCTAAAAACTTCTAAATTTGATTAATTTAATTTCTTTTAAATGCAGAATATAATTGAGGAAATTTGTAGATTGACTTGTAAGATATGATAAAATTTTTTTTTTTCGAGCGAATATATGATATTAACCGCCTTGACATTTGCGCCATTTAATTTATTGATTATTGACTGTTAGTTAATCAAATGGAAATAATAATATAAACAAACAGAATAAAAGAATGTAAACGAACTTGCAAAAAAATAGCCAAAACTGTTAATCCATCACATTTGTTTAAACATTTGTTAAATTCGTTGTATTTTTTGTTCCAAAAACGAAATGTAGCTGTAAAGGTCAAAGGTTAGGTCAATTTGATGTCATTAAATAGAGGAAAATATTGAAATTCGTAGTGTTTCACTTTTTTTAAAAATTTAAATTATTGTTTAACCTCGGCGGAAAAGCCTTTTCCATTAATTAAATGTTCACTGCCGCAATCTTTTTCTGTTCCCCAATGAGCATGGAATTCCCAAAGTTTGTAAACATCCGGAAGATGTGACGCAGTTAATTCTGAAATTCAATTCATTTATCCGAAATTTGTTGAATTAACGGCTCATTTCTATTTTTTGTTTTTTTCTTTACAATTCTTCAAGAATTACTATTTTTTAAATTTTTAATGAAATCAAAATTTACCTGAAGTACATCCGTTATCAGTTTTACATGAAAAACCTTCGCCAGTGACCTGAAATAATGCAATCAATTTTGTTTGTACAATACTACGTTTAATAGTAATTTGCAATTCGTTAATTAAAGTTAAAATTTCAATCCATCATTTCACTTCGATTGTTTTCAAATCGCCGATCGTATAGGAAAATTGAAGTTTCGATGCTTTCAACATGCTATCCTGATCAGTTATTTCATTTGTAATATCTATTGGACTTTGCTTCTTCCGTGCTTTATTTCCATCTGAAATAAAATAATATTTTCAGTAATTGACTGTGCAAAGTTATAAGTAATTCAGGTTGACAGTAAGACATACTGGAATTACTGGCAAAGATAACCTAAAGAAATTAAAATGATATTTTAAAAGGATCCACTCTCTTAAGTAATTAAATTAGACTTAAAATCCAATTAATTAACTGTATTCCAAATTATATTTTGTTATCAGTTCTGTATACCTGTAATTAAACTATTCTTTGCATACCTGTAATCGACTTCCTTTTCTTGAGTGTTTTAGTAGAACCATTAGCTGCCATTGAGGTATTTTATTAAATCTAAAGTTTTAAAAAAAAGTTTTTCAGTATTTTGCAGTACGTTTCATATCAGAAAGTCTTCCTAAACTTTACTAATATAATTTCATTTTGCAAGAAATAACCATTTGCAAGACTAAATTTAAATTTTAGTTATAAATTAAATTCCCATTGAAGGACCAAAATAAATTTTTCATTTCAATTCAAAAAAAAAATTGCTAAGGATGGAATGAAATGGAAATTGAAATAAATACTGCTAGTAATAATTGGCAAGTTAATGATAATATTTCAATTGCTATGGTAATAAATTAGTTTACTTTAATTAATGTTCATTCAAATATTTGAAAAATTCTTTAATTGTTTTTCTCTTTTTGTTTTTTTTGTTTTTCCGAAGAATATAAATTAAATCATTTTTTAAACACAATCTTTAGATGCTAAGATTTAAACTAAATTTTATCAATTGCTATTTTTTTTTTTTGAATAAATCGATTGATTATCCAAATGATCATTAATGTTCTCTGAATATAAATATTTTTAATTTTAGTTCATTGAAATTAAGATTTTTTATCAAACAATTTAATTTAATCGTAATATTTTGAGTTACAAATTTATCAAACGTTTCAAATCTTTCATTTCAATTTTTTTGCAAAATTTCTAAAAATTTAGACAATTTAATTTGAATTTAATTCAAAATTTTTGAATTCGCTATTTTTAAAATTAAAAGAATCAATTGTTTTCATTATTGATGAATTTTCGTTTGATTTATAAAAACAGAAAATTTCATTTCCGTTTCAATGAATCCGGTTTATCCATCAATTTAGCATACTTTAGAGGGATGCTATTATCATACTTAGTGTCAATCAATAATGCAAGCAAACAAATATTGTTTTCAATATTAGTATAAATAACAAATAACTAATTAAAATCATTCAATATTACCTGTAAAGTATAAAGTATAAATTACTTACTTATAATTATTTAAAATATTAAAAGTAAAATTTTAGGAAATTTATTTATGCAATCAATTCAATTGATCGTTTTAATGCAGTACTTAATAAATGCATTTTAATTAATTAAATAACAAACATACATAATATTTTGTTCCAAATGTAGCATAATTAATTTTAATTTAAAATTTAAAAATAAATTTCAATAATTTAAAAATAATTCCACAAAAAAAAACAAACAAACGAAAATGTCATCATTCTTATTCATTTTATTTAATTGAATAAAAATTTAACGATATGAAAATTTTACAAATGTAAAATAATAGAACTTGAAAAAATTTTAAATACATTTGACAAATAAAATGACAAAAAAAAAAAAAAGAATTTTTTCTTAAATGAATTTTTATAAACAAATGTCCTCCTGTCACCTCTATTTTTAATATCCTTTCAAAAATATTCCGATGAAATGATGCCATGTGACTAATGAAATAAAATATATTGTGAAGAAAACATGTTTTCTATTTTAATTAAAACTGCATTACCAATTTGCAAACTTACTTATCATGCAAAATATGCAAGCAGTTGCGTGCTGCTTTGTTTCGTTTATATGTTATTATTAATTTTAAATCTTTAGTATTAATATAGTTATTCATTAAAATTTCAATAACCATTTAATGCATTAAGCATAAAATGGAAATTATTAATTTTTAAATGCTATATATTAGCAGCTTAAATTAGCTAAAATAAAATGACTAAAGTTCAAAACTTAAGTTAAATTAATCAAATTTAATTTATAATATTTGTAAATGTGAAATTTTCTTTGAGGCATATCTTTTCATATGTTTGCATTTTTGTATTGATGGCAATGAATAAATTAAATTTTATCACATTTAATGTTTGTAACTTAAAATTCAAATATAATTAACTGTTTTAGATTTTCATTTTCTAAAAGGATGAATTAAACAAAATTAATTGAGTAATTTAATTACTGAATTTTATTTCATTTTATTTTATTGTATGTTTTTGATTAAATTAGAAGATGTGAAAATTTTGAATAATATTAAAAACTTTATGGTTGAATTTTTTAACATTTTTTTCCAATTTTTTTTTTTTAGATAAATGAATTATGTTAAAAATTTAAGTAAAAACCTGAAAAGAAAGTTAAAATTTTCTTAAAAATAATAATTTTCATAACTGATTATTGAAAGGAAAGGAAATTTGAATCAATGACAAAATAAAATTTTATAATTTAGCAAATTTTTTTTTAATCAATATTTTATAGGAAAAAAGAGAAAGAGAAAATTTTATATTTTTATAATTATATTTTTTATGATTTATAATTATATTTTATAATATAAATTTTCTATAATATTTTATAATACAAAATTTATAATTAACTTCTCTTGCAATTTTAAAATTATTTAAGAAATTAAAGAATTATTTAATTTCTTAATTATATATTATCAAAGTGTAAATCAATTCTTATATATTAAAATCTTCTTTTCATATTATTCTTTGCTTATCAAACAAATTTTTTCTCCTCTTTTTTGATCAATAAATTATTCATCTTTTATAAATTTTTATATTTATATTAGACAAAACATTTCTTTGCAAAAAATCAAAAAATTGAAAAACAAATTTAGACATAAAAATTTCACAAAAAAATCAGTAAGCAATAAAAGTAACTAAAAATAATTCATTTTCTTGCATAAATTGCAAATATTTGATTATTAAATTGATGTAAACATTTTAATTATTTCTCTAATCTCTTGTTATTGACCTTCATGACCTCTTGGAAGTGACCATCAAAATTTCCTAATAATTAATTTGACAGAAAAACTTTACACTCTCGTAGATATAAAAATTTAAATAAATAATTCAAATAAAAATTACTGGTAGAATTGACCAACAATAACAAATCTTATTTTCATACAATAAAATTGCCATAATTAATTTTCTTTTACCCTTTTTTTTTCTGCTTGATTAGCTTATTTAATTTATATGTATAATAAATTAAATCCATTTTATCATTTTTTTTTTAAATTTTATTTTCATTCTTTCCAAGTTATAATTTCAATTAAATTAATTAAATCAATTCAAATAAATCTGCAATTAAACTTTTCAACAATTTTTTTTTTCAATTTATTTTAAATTATTACTAATCCGTTTTGTAATAAATATGGTATGATCATTTCTAATTAATTCATACCTGTGCAAATGTACACCTGTAAATTGTCATTAATCGTAAATATTAAATGCTGCATGAAATAATCAAACAAATTTGCTGCTTAGCAACAATCTTTCATTGCCAGTCATTGCATAATTACTAATTACATTTTTATAATTTGCAATGAAGAAAAAAAAAAAAAAAGTATTATTGCAACATTTTAATTAAGCATAAATTATTCATTCTGATTCAAAAGATAAAAATTTTGCAATAAATTATTGATGGATTGTTTTTATTTTTTATTCTTTCTTTTGAATCAGAAATTATTATCACATAATAACATTAACAGTTTAACTAAATTTATCATCCTAATACTAAGAATATCTATGTAAATTACAATAAAAAGATTATTTAATAAATTTAAATGATAATTTAAAATTGCAATCTGAAAAATTCAAATGATAATTAATGAAGTTAGAATAAAATATTAATTATAAATATAATTATTTTAAGAAAAAATCAAAAAAAAAGAAAAAACGAGAAAACATTGATCTGTTCTTCGTCCTGAGTGAGAAAATGTCAACAATAAAATGTTTAAATCCAATTTTGTACAAATTATTCAACTTATCAATTATTATCACCATAATCTTCATTATCAGTACTACTACGATTACTTTCACTATTACTACTTTTAACTACTTTTGGACGTTTCATGGTGCATTTAATACCATCGAAATATACGCTACCACTATCATACACCAATACATCGGCCGTACGATAATCAATTAAAGCATCACTGTAATAATGTGATAACAATTATATCAGTTATCAGTTATCAAATAATTTGAGAGATGGATGATTATAAATTATTATGTTAATATATCAGAAAAACAAAAAAAAAATGAATAGCAAATATTTCATAGAGTTTAGAAAAAAAAAAATTTTTTTTTTGTTTCAAATTCTATTTGTAATACTTTTGAAATTGTTTTTTTGTTTAGAAAAATTTCAAAATTTTATTTGTAATACTTTTGAAATTGTTTTTGTTGACATTTTATAAATATTAAATTGATGATAATAATAGTAGAAAAAAAAAACCTGAATAATTCACAAGAATATGTTTGATTATCAACCTGAAGAAGATTTGATGATCGACAACCCTCAAAATGACATCCATAAAAGCATTGTTGTGGACTAAAATCAATTCAAATAATTAAAAAAAAAAAATCTTTCCTATAAATTTTAATTTAATAGATTAAAAAAAAAATCAAAATTATCAACGTCGTCTGTGTTTATCATATTTCAAACAGTACATTAATATTTAAATATTTAAACAAAAATATTAAATATTGAACTTTTGATTGTTGTATTAAATGAATCGATAATCGAAAATTTTTACTTTATCATAGCAATTAATTAAAAGTTTTTATGTAATAAAAGTTATAAAAGAAAAAAAAAATTTTTTTTTATTTCAGAGTATTTGAATAAATCAAAAGAAAATGTAAACAAAACAACAACAACAACAAACAAACAAACAAACAAACAAACAACAGAAAGGGAACTAACCTGGAAACTAGAAATCTTTTGATTAATTTAGCACCGCGAAAAGATGTTTGATAGATGGCAGAATAGATACATTTGCCATGATGAGAATATTTGATAATTTCTACAGGTGACGTAGTTTCTAATGTTTCATTAGAAATAGTATAATCCATTTCAGTTTGTGTTGTAGTAACTTAATTAATAAATAATATTTAAGTAAATATTTTAAGTTTTAAATTAATTTAAATTTTGATCAATAGGTAACGGATTAAAAAAATTTATCATTCATTTATAATATAGTTTCAATTATTTCAGTAGCTTCAAAATGTGTGACGAATTTAATAATAAAAATGATTTAAAATATGGTTTTAATATATTTAAATATTATTTATGCATCGAAGATAGAATTTAGGTATAAAAAGATAAAACGAAATTTGACAGAATAATAATAAAATCAAAAATATTATGATTGAAAAAATTTGAAAAAAAAATTTGTTTGATTGATTTTAATTTTTCAAAATATTATTCCAAATATTAGAAGATTACATTAATTTTTTAAATTTATATTTTTTGTTGAAAAAAAAAATTATGCTAGATACGAGAAAAGAAAGCAAAATTTGTTTTTTGAAAAAGAAATTTTAAACAAAAATGTATGCAAAACTGTTATAAATTAAAATTAACACAAAAACTTTTCAAATTGACCTTTTTAATTTTTTAAATATTATTCCAAATATCAAATAGAAAATCATATTAATTGTTTTAGGCACAAAAAAAACAAAATAAAATTCGTAATCGAACATAATTGAAATTAATTGAAACAAATATTAATTGAAAGAATTTTTTTGTTGTTGCAATGAATTAATTATTATTTAATTGCTAAATAATAAAATTAAATGTAATTTAAAAATTTATTAATTAGCTAAATAAGTCACATAGCATAAATTTTAGCAGTAATCGGATTAATTAATTGAGAGAAATATTAATTGAAAGAATTTTTTTTTGTTGTTGCAATGAATTAATTATTATTTAATTGCTAAATAATAAAATTAAATGTAATTTAAAAATTTATTAATTAGTTAAATAAGTCACATAGCATAAATTTTAGCAGTAAAAAGAAAACAAACCAATCGTATCGCTATGCTCTGTAAATGAATCCGAAATAGTTGTAAAATCATTTGTTGACATTGTGGTTGTCACATAAGTTGTCGTCAGATCATGATTTTGCAACTCATTTTCTTCGTTTTTTTCCTTCTCCAATATTTAATTATTGTAAATTTGAAAAATATTGTGTTAACTTTTTTTCTTTTTAAAAAGAAATGCGAACTGGAAAAGTTAACTTAAATTTGTAAAATTATTTATGCAATTTTGAATTTCGTACTACTATTTCCAGTTAATTTTAAGAAATGAAACTTAAATTTTTAAATGCAAAGTGATATATTGTGAGAGTATTATTGATAAGCCAATATTAGTCTAATATAATTAATAATATAATTGAAGCAATTTAATTCTAATCAATCCATCAAACTTTATGACACAAACATAAATTTAAAACAGTAATGTTGACTTGAATAAATTGTAATTTTATAAATTAATAATTTTGCGATACTTTTTGGTGAATGCTCTTTGCTTTTATAATTTTAATTTTAATCTAGTTGTTAAATGGAAATTGATATTCAATTAAAATATCCATGATATAGTTTGTAAATTTTAAAAAAAAAAATTTTTTTTTTTCTATTTTCTATTTATTGCATCAAATTTTTTCTTATACATCAAATTATTATTCGAAACAGAATTAAAATAAAAAAGTAAATTTCAAAGGAAAAAATTGAAAATGAACCTTCTGAAGGATCATAATAAGTTGATTGAGGAGTAGTATATTGAATAGAATGAGAAGGATTTGTTGATAAAATCATACTACTACTACTCAAATCAATATTGTCACTGCTATCATAAATATTTGTCGTCTAAAAATTTCATTTAAAGTTTCAAAAACTAATTTTAACGAAATAATAAAGTTTGGAAAATCTTTTTTGCTTTTATCTTCCAAATTATCAGTGATATCCTATATTTTTCATTTTTAATTAAAAAAAAAATCAAAAAATATTTGCAAATATTTCTGCTTAATATAATCTATTTCCTAATTTTAATTACTCAAATTTTGTATAACTCTTTTTTATTTCATGTAAATTTAAAAATTCTTTACATTTAGAAAATCATTTATTTCATTTTTCTGAAATGCATTAAAGTTAGCAAAAAAAAAAGAAAAATCAGACCTCATCGTTGTGTAAAGTAGTATTTCTATTGTTGTCATTTTCAGATCGAAAATTTAATGATAAATTTTCATCCTTTAATATCAAATTCATTGTGGATAAACAATTTTCTTTCATATAAATTGGAAATTTATCACCTGAAAAACCAATAATAGAAGCAAATGAATTGATTTTTCCTTATTTTCTTGCATTTTTCTCCAAGGTTTACATTTTTAAATTTCAATTTTAAAATAAACTCTTCACACATTTTCTTTTTCTTTCACAAAAAAAATTATTGCTACTAGTAAAAATCAATTAAAACTTACTTCCAGTGAAACAACTTTTATCGAAATAGCTATGCATTAGTGTGTAAACAATAGAATGATTAAAATTTTTGGATCTGTCATCCTGAAATTTCATCTATAAAAAAATAATTTAGGACCGAACAATCGGGTATTTTTCCTTTTTTTTTTTGATGAATGAATGATCGAAGTAAATTTTACTAACCAAATTTTGCAGATTCATCTAAAAAAAAATTGTTTTAATTTTTATTTTTCAAAAAAGGAAACGAAATTTAGAATTTCTTGCTTTCATTATATATTTCTATTACTTATTCCTGTTCCACCAAATTTCTTACAGTAATCTTTAAACTTTACAAATGAAAATAACCTGAAAATAGCAAATCAAACCACTTTTTTTTGTAAACTAGATAACTTTACCTGCTCAAATTACTTAGTAAGCATGTCCTGGAATCAAAGTAGTACTCGATACTGTTACATTCGATACCGTATCGATTTTCAGCATTCATACAGTAACACTTACATGCATCTACAGATACATTAGTTTCTGCAGCAAATGCTGTACCATGTAGTACATGATTTGGCATTTCAACAAAGCAACTATCCGTATTTACTGCAAAAATCACTAATAATCATTTTTAGTAATTATTTTTAAATGATAGTTGTATTTGTTTTGTGAATTAAACTATCAAATATCACAACAAAGAATGATGAAAACAAAAGAAATGAATGAAAAAAATAAAAATTAAAATTAAAAAAAGTATTTCTTAAAAATTTCAAATATGAGAGCAAATAAAAGTTATGAAAGAACAATTTTTGTATGAGAAAACAATTTTTATTGTATGAGAAAAGAATCAGAATCATTGCAAAAAGTTAATAAATTTTTTATTTATATAATTGATAAATGTGCATTATTTATAAATAGTGCTATTTCTCTCTCTGCTATATAATTGCTACTTTATTGTTATCACAATAATTTGCGTAATTTAAACTAAGGATGTTATTCGGTTTTGAAAAATTTGTTTAAAATGATAAATTAAAATATCTAACTGAAAATATGAACGAATTCATTTAATCTAGATATTTAATGTTTCAATAACCTGGCATGAAAATTTTTTCTGGTATTGTTGTTGAAGTTGAAATGCTAGCAGTTTGTCTACAACCATGAATAAAATTATTATTCACTAATCGTTCCTTTGATTCTTCTAAAAAAGATAAATGTTATTTATGTAATATTATACAGCACCGTATTACGGTATTGCAGATACCGTATTGCATCACGAGTATACGGTATCGCTATATGGTATTAGTTATACAGTATCAACCTCACTAAAACAATATCAAATATATGAATGTAAAATCATGATAATATTGTGATTCCTAATTAAAAGTATGAATATAATATATGCTAACCTACTGAACAAATCATTCCCAGATAACTGACATTGTCCTGCAATTGAAATTGGTCTGGAGAATCATTTCTTGTTTGTAAATTCAAGATGCAATCACGTTCGTTGTGATAATAAGTTGCCGAAACACATTGAAAAGAGTAGCGTTCATTGCTTCTACAAATTTCAAAATAAAAATTTATTTTACAAAAAAAAAAATCTTGGGAAAGATTAGTGCTAAAAAAAAAAAAACTTTAATTTCTGATTAAACTAAGATTTTTCAATACATCTTATGAAAAATAAGAACTAATTATTTCAAAGATGAAAATAGAAAACATATTTTTATTTAATATTCCTGTAGTCAAATTTCTGCAGAAAAAGAAATCAGATTATATTAATTATTATAGATAAGAATGGTAAAGTAAGTAATATTTTATAGTGATTTATAATAATTGAAAAAGAAGCATCAGAATTGCTTCACAATTTAATTCAAACTATTGCTTAATTCTTGCTTTCAAGAATTTAAAACTTATATTTCATCAAAAAATATATGTTATCAAATGTTTTATTCAAATTATTAAGTTAAATGATTAAATGTGCTGAAATAAAGTAAAATTATGCATAAATTATTTTATTATGCAGTGAAATAATAAAATTAGAATCTTTGCATATCAAAAAACAATCAGTAATCTAATATATTTCTCAAAATCATAATTTCGAGATATCTTTGTCACAATTTAAAGTTGTTTACATAAATACAAATATCTTTGAAACTTACCTGCTATTAGCGCAATAACATTGACATTCCTCCAGTGTCACATCTTGTTCAAGTCCGCCAGCAGTACCTTTCAGAATAAATCCATCAATAACCTTTAAAGTGATTCAAATATCTTCAATGATCTTTAAAAAAAAAAAGTTTTCCACCAAAACCTTACCTAAAATCTATTACTCTATAGCTTTACCCAGTTAGTAGCATATATTTTATGCGCATATGTTCCATATTTCTACTGTATAGAAGAAGTGTATATTTCGACCTACCAACACCGCCAAAAAATATTTATTCACTATTATATCAAATGTAAATTTCAGTTCTCAAAGTAAAACTATTATCATCTGCTAAATTAGAAATTTATTCTAAATGATTAAAATAAACTATGCAACATACTTCAAAGCAGTCACCGACTGGTTTCGATGCCAAATTTTGTTCAATTTTGTTGGCATCTGCAACTCAATCCTATATTGAATATATGCATACTTTTAATATCTTAATTCCGTTACCAAATTTTTAAAATTTTCAACAAAATTTGATGAAAAAAAGCGAACTTTTTTGAATCTTTCCTTCAACAAGAAAAGAAAAATTAATTATTATAAAATCTAAACAAATAAAAATTTTAATATTTTGTAAATGAATATCATAAATTATTGTTGTCAGAATAATTAGCACCTTCTTTGGAATTTTTTTCCGGAATATCAAGTTTTTTATTGGTTATCATTTTATCAGATCCTTCCGTTACCATAACTGCTACTGTTGTGATTTCATTTTCATTTAAATTATCATCAGAAGTACCATCGAATCTTTCATCTTCTAAATAAATTCTCCTTTTTTTTCCTTCTTTTGATAATCAGTAAGGTAAATATTTGAACTGAAATCAATTTTTCAATTGATATCCTGTTATTAATTAACAATACTGATTGAACATTTCTTGAAAAAAAAAAGTAATTTGAATAGCAAAACTGATTAGAAACAGATTTAATTACAAAGCATCTAATTAAAGACAAAAATTTTTCGTTGACAATATATATTGTCCACATCTAATAATTTTATCCGGAAAGTACAGTTTTCGGATAAATATGAAAATTTTTCATTTTTCCGAAAATCCACCTAAATCTTTGTCTGTTGTTGTTTGTTGGCCAATAATAGCAGTTGTCGTTAATTTCTCGATGCTCGAATTTAATTCATTAATTGATCCTCGGAATTTTTCATTGTTGTCATTATCCGTCCTAATTTCATGTTAATCGTTCCAATAACTTTCAATTCAGATTCATTTGTTAATGACTTAACAATTTCTTCAGAAGTTGTTGATGATGATGATGATAGATTAGTTATTGTCATTTTAGTATAATCCGTAAAACTTGTTGTTGTAGCAAACGGTTTCTCAATTATTTCCAAATCTGTATCACTTGTAGATCGGATCCCTCGACTACCATGTGATAAAACATTGGTAGTAACAGTATCAGTATCAGTAGTAGTAGTAGTAGTAGTGGTACTAGCAGTAGTAGTAGTACCATGTTGAATTTTAATTTTATAATCATATTCACTCTTTTCAACACTAATTTCTTCCGATTGTTTTCCAATATTTCAAGTACCAAACTTTTAAAATTTTTCGCAACACTTTTTGTTTTCATTATTTTACTCCATAAATCAGGTGATAATATCACTTCTTCAGTAATTGTTTTATTGCTTACTTCTTCCTTTCCATGCTCTTTCCACCAATAAACAGATTTTGTACGAAAAGCTGATGAAGAGAATATTGATCGATGATCAATTGTTGATCGTTTCCTGTTTGAATGATTTGTTTTATTTTCATTAGCACTACTACTACTACTACTACTTATCATCACATCCTCATTAGTATTTCTTCCTTCTAATGCAAATTGCTCAAAATTTGTGTTTCTTTCTGTTTGGCAGTTCCGATTTGCATTATTGATAATATCTAGAATGAACGAATATCACTGATAAGAAAAATAAAAAAATAAAATTTTTAAAATTTTAAAAAAAGAAATTTTTTTTTTTGATATATTTTTGAATTAGTTTAAAGATATTATTAATTACATATTTGTATTGAAAATAGCTAAAATTTTTGCTTTTTTTTATAGGTGTATGATTATCAAACGGATTGCTTTTAACTATTGCGAATATTTTGAGGTATATTGAGAAAATCTATTTGCTAATAATTCATTAACAATTTTTAAAATTAATATATACTTTAATAATTATAACTATAAATAATAATTTAGCTGAGAAAACAAAAGTAAAAGTAAACCTTCAGTAGTACATATTCGATAAAAATAATTATTATCCCAATTATATATCAAATCATAATTTCCATGATGATCATCTTCGTTTAATAAACATTTCCGTGTAACATTACTGTATTGAAAACTTTTACACTTTATCATACAATCATCTTTATCATTATTATTCCATGTCTTAGCACAAGCACATCTGTAATAAATTTATTTAGCAGTAAAATTTTATAAAAATATTTTAAGAAAAAGGAAAATTTCAAATTAAAAAAAGATTTTTTTTTGCCAGAAAAACGATAATAAATAAAAATGTTAATAAAACTTATGAAAAAAAACATTTAAAATTAAATGTATGAATTGATTTCATTGGTGATTCTGCTTAAGATAATGATGATCAAATGTCTAATTTACGATGATCAAATGTTTAATCCATGATCAGAATGATCAGATCAAAAATAATACTGAATAATGATTTAATATTTGATATATAATAAGGCTAATCAAACAGGAAATAATAATATATTTGAATTTAATATCTGAATAATATATTTGAATTTAATTAATTTTCAATAATTCATCGTTTTTTTAAATATTATGATGTGCTGTTGAAAACTAACAATTTTAATGTCGTTTTTCTGTCACACAATATAGTAACAAAGAGCAAATCTCTACTAATTCCTGTTATTTTATTACTATTATAATTATTACTGTTATTACTATTATTATAGTTACTATAATTATCATTAATATTATCACTATTATTAATCTTACTGGTATTACTATTGCCATTATTATTAATTATTATTCCTGTTCCTATTTTTATTTTCCTTCTTCCCTTCTTTATTAATTATTGTTGATACTAATTATCATTATGTCAATTATTATTGTATATTATTTTTGATTATTATTGTCATACGACTGGGAAACCATTTCCTATAATTGTTTTTTTTTATACTATAGAAGAGATAGTTAAAAATTTATTCGATTATTATAGTTCATTAATGCTTATCATTATCAACGTTAACATTATCATTATTAAGTAATGATAAGATGTTATAAGGATTTGAGTTATCATTATCAGATGATAGTGATATCATTGCTATGTTAAAGGATTGAAAAGTTTAACAAATTACCTGCATTGTTCCAATGAAATATTATCAATTTCTTTATAGGAAGCATTATATAACAGTTGACGATCAATCATACCAAAACAGGTTGAATTAATAATCAGTGAAGTTTTTCCTGTATGAAATCAAATTAATTGCATATTATTAACATTTATTTTGAACAATGTCATAAATTTTAATGAAATTCTCCTTTCAAGTAAAAAAATTATTTATTAAAAAATAAAAAATATTATTAAAAAAAAATGTAAAAAATATTATTAAAAAATTATTTTGAAAAAAAAAAAAAAAGATTGAATAATCTGAAATCTCTCTCTCTTTGAAAAATTAATGAAATAATTGAAATATTTACTTCCATTAATATTGTCATCTGTTGTTGCTATCTTACTGCTTTTAATTTTCTTTTGTCGCATTTCATGATCGTTGACAGATGACAAATTTTGATTAATACCATGAATTTGAACATGATACAGATAGCCATGTTGTTTATCAATAAATTGTGCTGGAACCTTTTCAAATATTCCATCCTTTTTTTGTTTATTCAATTGTTGCCTGTCAAAACCGGAAATACTTTCTGGATTTGTATGTGCTTCATTTTGTTGAATTTCACTTCCTTTCAATGTATTACTATTATTGTTGAGAAATTCATATGGTAATTTAATCCGTAGTATATGATAATTTGCTTTTAACTCTTCCGGTGAATCACGTCTTGTTGGAAATTGATTTAGCATTCCGGGAATATCCGTAAATATTGTTTCGTGTAAATTTTCACGCCTATGATAATTACCAATACGAATAACAATCCAACTTTGTCGATCATCGACACGTTCCACTGATACTTTATATTTATTGGGATTTTCACGTAATTCACGTACTATCTCTTCCAGGTAACGTAATTTACTTTCACTATTATCATCATTGATTGATTTTTGTGGATTACTTATGCTTATATTACTTTTATTATCAAATGCTTCCGTTATATCATGAAAAGTTGGTATTTTTTTCTCAAGTATCTTTTTCAAATTAATCCACCATAACAATGTTTCATCTTCAAATGATTGTAAAATTGTTCTACTCGGTAAATGAATATCTTTAATTGAAATAATATTAGTAGCAGAAGTAGTAGCTATTGTTGTTTGTTGTTATTGTTGTTGTTGTTGTTGTTGTTGTTGTAATAGACATAGCATCATCAGCAGAATTAATAGAATCATTTTCTTCAATAACTGTTTCAGTAATTGTTTCAGCATTTGCAGTACTTGTTAATATAGTAGTATCAGCAGTAGTTGTTGTTGTTGTCGGTACTATTGTTGTTGTTGTTATTGTTGTTGTTGTTGTTGTTTCTATTGTTATTGCTGCCAGTAATACACCATAAACAGTTGTGGTTGTTTCAAATATGGTAAAATTATTTTCATTATTAATTGTTGGTGGAATTGTTGTGTTTCCTTTTTTAAATTCATCAGATATCACTGAAAATTAAAATTAATGTTTTTTTTTTTTTAAAATTTTCCTCAAAATCTAATTGCTTAGTACTATTATTATTATTATTATTATTATTATTATTATTATTTATTATTATTATTATTATTATTGTTACTATTATTGCTATTACTGATATTATTATAAAATATTTTATTGCAAAATATTTTATATGAAATAAAATTCAAACGAAAAAGATACATTGATGGATCGATTTGATAGATTGAAATTGCAATAAATTATTAGTCATTTCTGATTTAATTATTATTTGTTACATAAAATTAGAATAAAATTTTTTTTATTTTTCTTCAATAATATCAATAATCTTTCCTATAATAAACAAAAACAATTGTTTTGTTTCAAAAAAAAAATAATTATTTGAGAGAAATTTCAATTTAAAATCAGATTCCATCAAAAAAAAAAAAAATTTAACAAAATAATGAATTTAATAAAAAAATTGCTAATTAAAAAAAAATTGAAAAATCTACAAATAGCAAAAATAAAATATAATAAAAAGAAGAAAAAGGAGAATAATCATGCAATCATATGTTATAATATGAGAATTTCAAATGTTTACCTGCACTTCGGGTAAGTTCAATACCTGATTTCAATAGTATATCGTTTATTTGATTTAAATCATTTCCATTTTCTAGAAAAAAAAAAGTCCAGTCATGAAGGTTGAAATCATTACTGACATAAATTTACTTCAAATTGAAAGTATTTTAATGAATTCAAATTTAAAGAAAAATTAAAAAATGATCTAAGAATAAAAACAAATTATTTTAACTTAAAAATCATAATTAATTAATTATTTGACGAAAATTATTCCCTAAAAATTGTTTTATTTACTCACAATTCTAATTATTAGTTTTAATGATTTAATTTAAAGG